AATAAATAAATAAATAAATAAATAAATAAATAAATAAATAAATAAATAAATAAATAATAAATAAATAAACTTTAAATAAATAAATAAATGTAAACAAAATGATTAACTCAACTGCCTCCACGGGCTGCGCAAGGGCCGCGCAAAAGTACTGCTGCTGCTGCTGTTGCTGCTGCTGCTAGTATTGCTGCTGCTGCTGCTGCTGCTGCAAGTGCTGCTGCCGCTGCTGCTGCTGCAGCTGCTGCTGCAGGCGCGGCTGCTGCTACGACTACCACCACTACTATTGCTGCTGCTGCCACAGTATCTGCTGCTGCAGCAACTCCAGCAGCAGCAGCTGCTGCTGCTTCAGCAGCAGCAGCTGCTGCTACTGGTACTATTACTAATACAGTTGCTGCTGCTACTGCTGCTGCTTCCATTGTTGCTGCTGCTGCTACTGCTGCTGCTGCTACTGCCGCTGCTGCTGCCGCTGCTGCTGCTGCTGCTGCTGCTGCTGCTGCTGCTGCTGCTGCTTACTTTGAATGCGGGGTTTGTGGGGTCTAGGGCAAAGTTGTGGCTGTGCAAAACGCGGCTGAAACGAGCGTCCTCCAAGTCCAGCTAAAAACAAATAATAAATAAATAAATAAATAAATAAATAAATAAATAAATAAATATAAATAGATTAATAATAAATAAAATAAACAAAAGAATGAACAGCAGCAGCAAGAAAAAGAACAGCAGCAGCAGGGACGGCAGCAGCAGCAGAAACAGCAGCAGCAGCAGAACAAGCAGCAGCAGCACCAGCATCAGCAAAAAGAGCTGCTGCAGCAGCAGCAGCGGCAGAAAGAGCAGCAGCAGCAGCGAAAACAGCAGCAGCGAAAACAGCAGCAGCAGCAGAAACAGCAGCAGCAGCAGCGGAAGGAGCAGCAGCAGTAGCACCAGCAGCAGCAGAAACAGCAGCAGCAGCAGAAGTTGCAGCAGCAGTAGCAGCGGAAGAGCAGCAGCAGTAGCAGCAGCAGCAGAGACAGCAGCAGCAGCAGCAGAAGCAGCAGCAGCAGCAGCAGGAAGAGCAGCGTCACCTTGAATCCTGTTTGCTGCTGCTGCTCCAAAGCTTCATTTGTGTCTTTGGAATTTATTTTTGTTTTATTTTTAATTTTCTTTTTTCCTTTTTTTATTTTGCTGCCTCTCATATCAAAGTGCCTTCCCTCCTGCAGCAGCAGGCGCAGCACAAGGGTTTAGGGTTTAGGGTTTAGGGTTTAGGGTTTGCTTCCATGTTTATGTTTTACTTGCACTTTTATATTTCGATTTTTGGCAAAGAAAATGAACCCCAAACCCTAAACCCTAAACCCTAAACCCTAAACCCTAAACCCTAAACCCCATAATTCAGAAAAAAGAACAGAAGCAGGTTTCCAAATTACCTCATCGCTCAGCTCTTCTTGCTGCTGCTGCTGCTGCTGCTGCTGCTGCTGCTGCTGCTGCTGCTGCTTCGCCTTTGGCTCTGGCTCTTCCAAGAAGAGGGGGAACTGAACAAATAAATAAATAAAAAATAAATAAATAAATAAATAAATAAATAAATAAATAAATAATAAATAAATAAATAACAATAAATAAATAAATAAATAAATAAATAAATAAATTAAAAATAAAAAATACATAAATAAAAAATAAATAACTTATTGATGCGCTTTGAGTGCAGGCTCGGCAACAGCTGAAGAAGCCCCGCTGCTGCTGCTGCTGCTGCTGCTGTTGCTGCCTCTGCTGCTGCTGCTGCTGCTGCTGCTGTTGCTGCCTCTGCTGCTGCTGCTGCTGCTCACTGCTGCTGTCTTCTTTTTCTTCCGCTTTTCCTTCTTGTCTTCCGTTACTCGGAAGAAATCCTGCAACATAAACCCCAAACCCTAAACCCTAAACCCTAAACCCTAAACCCTAAAACAGCTACAGTAGGGGCCCTCGAAAACACCTAGAGGGCCCCTAAACCCTAAAGCTAAACCCTAGCGAAGTGGCAGCCACAGGCCTAGCGGTTAGGGTTTAGGGTTTAGGGTTTAGGGTTTAGGTTTTTGCACACATCATCACTCAGGTCTTCTTCTTCGAACTCTTCTCTTTGCTTCCTCTTTGCCTTTTTGCTGCTAGCAGGCCCTGCTGCTGCTGCTGCTGCTGCTGCTGCTGCTGCTGCTGCTGCTGCTGCTGCTGGGGGCTCCTCGTCGCTGTCAGTTGCTAAGTCTTCGAGGGACTTTTCGAAAGAAACTTTAAGTCCTTTTTCTGAATAAAAAAGTAAAAGAATTAATTAATTATTTAATTCAATTAAATTAATTTAATTAAATTAAATTAATTAAATTAATTTAATTAAATTAAATTAATTAAATTAATTTAATTAAATTAATTTAATTAAATCAAATTAATTGATTTAATTTAATTTATCACGCGGAGCAGCTTCCTGCTGCCTAGGGTTTAGGGTTTAGGGTCTGTCTGCTGCCTAGGGTTTGGGGTTTAGGGTTTAGGGTGTTACTTCTGCCTAGCTTTTAGGGTTTAGGGTTTAGGGTTTGACTGCAGCCTAGGGCTTAGGGTTTAGGGTTTAGGGTTTGAATACTGTCTAGGGTTTAGGGTTTAGGCTTTGACTACTGCCTAGGGTTTAGGGTTTCGGATTTAGGGTTTGACTTCTGCCTAGGGTTTAGGGTTTACGTTTTAGGATTCAGGTTTTGACTAATGCCTAGGGTTTAGGGTTCAGAGTTTAGGGTGAGTACTGCCTAGGGTTTAGGGTTTAGGGTTTAGCGTTTGACTACTGCCTAGAGTTTAGGGTTTAGGGTTTAGGGTTTAGGGTTTAGGGTTTAGGGTTTGACTCGCCTGGGGTTTTGTTGAATGCGGCCGTGGTGTCTTCGTCTGAAGAGTCAAAATCTTCTGCGAAGTCCTTTAAAAAAATTTAAATAAATAAATAAATAAATAAACAAATAAATAAATAAATAAATAAATAAATAAATAAATAAATAAATAGTAATAAATGCTTTTCAACCCTAAACCCTAAACCCTAAACCCTAAACGTGTGAGTGGCGAAGTTAGGGTTTAGGGTTTAGGGTTTAGGGTTTGGGGTTTAGGGTTTAGGGTTTGGTGAGTTCAGATATTCACCCCGAGCAGCTCCTTTCTAAATGACTCCAGGTTCTCTTCAGTGATTTTTTTCCACCCCTTCTGCTGCTGCTGCTGCTGCTGCTGCTGCTGCTGCTGCTGCTGCTGCTGCTGCTGCTGCTGCTGCTGCAGCTCCGTGTCTTCTTCGGAATCTTCCGAAGAACCCAAAAAGGCATCCAAGTCTTGTTCATCCAATTCTTCGGGTGTAAACCTTGAAGTGCATGCACTCATTACTAAAATTAAATAATAATAAATTAGCAGCAGCAGCAGCAGCAGCAGCAGCAGCAGCAGCAGCAGCAGCAGCAGCAGCAGTTTGAGCGTCGGCAGCAGCAAAGGGCACAGGACAATGGGCAGCAGCTGCAGCAGCAGCAGAAGCAGCCAGCAGCAGCAACAGCAGCATAAGCCAAAAGACAAACTCTCCACAGCAGCAAAAACCAAAGGACAACCGGCAACAGCAGCAGCAGCAGCAGCAGCAGCAGCAGCAGCAGCAGCAGCAGCAGATTTACTTTTTTCTGAGGAATTTGATTCTCTCTTTGGGGCTTTCGTCCCAAGTGAGTTCCACTTTTGAATGCCTGAGGGCGTTGCTGCTGCTGCTGCGGCCGTTTGCTGCTGCTGCTAGCCTCTCTGCTGCTGCTGCTGCTGCTGCTGCTGCTGCCAGATCCTCGCGAGTTGCTGCTGCTGTCAAGTTAGCAGCAGGCAGCTCCAGCTCGTCAGGAACAAAACGAATGTCCAGCCCATTTAAGGCAAAATTCTAAATAAAAAAAATAAAAAAGTAAATAAATAAATAAATAAATAAATAAATAAATAAATAAATAAATAAATAAATAATAAATAAATAACAAATAAATAACAAATTATTAAACAACAAACAATAAATGAAAAGAAATCGAAATAATTAACTGCAAATTCAAAAACACCAAAACCCCACACAACTAATTGCCCCTTCAGGGGGCCCCCGGGGGCCCCAGGGGGCCCCCGGGGGCCCCCGGGGGCCCCAGGGGGCCCCCGGGGGCCCCCTGGGGCCCCCAGGGCCTCTTAGGGACCCAAAAGGGCCCCCTAGAGCTCCTAGGGGGGCCCCTGGGGCCCCCAGGAGGCCCCGAGGGCCTCTTGGGGCCCTTGGGGGCCCCTGAAGATCCTCTCAAACCCCTGGGGGCCCCCAAGGGGCCCACGGGGGCCCCCAGGGGCCCCACAGGGGGCCCCCCGGGGGCCCCCTGTGGGGCCGCGGGGCCCGTAGGGGCCCCCGGGGGCCCCCGGGGGCCCCCCGGGTCCGCGTTTGCTGCAGCTTGAAGCTATAATTTGTGCATTAATTGTTAAATAATTAAATAATTAAATAATTGGATTATTTAATTATTTAATTGTTTAATTAATTAATTAATTATTTATTTATTTATTTATTTATTTATTTCGCATTTTTGGGTCACCAGCTCGCAGCCGTCCAACTCGTCGTAAATTCGCTGCGCCGTCTCGGCGGAGTCGGCGTAGCAAATGGCATAATAGTAACTGCAAAAATAAATAAATAATAAATAAATAAATAATAGAATATAAATAAATAAATAAATAAATAAATAAATAAATAAATAAATAAATAAATAAATAAATAAATAAATAAATAATGAATAAATAAATGAGAAGATAAAGGGATAAATGAGCAGTTTTTTCGGAGTAGTTAGAGGCTAGAACAGGGGCTTTTTGGCTAGCTAGCTAGCTAGCTAGCTGGCTAGCTAGCTAGCTAGCTGGCTAGCTAGCTGGCTGGACAGCTAGCTAGCTGGCTAGCTAGCTGGCTAGCTAGCTGGACAGCTAGCTCCCCAGCTAGCCAGCTATCTATGCGGTTAGCTAGCTGTTTAGGTAGCGAGTTGGGTGGCTCTTTACGTAGCTAGCTAGCCCTTTGGCTAGCTAGCTGGCTAGCTATCCAGCTAGCTAGCCAGCAATCTATCTAGCTAGCTATCTATCTGGCTAGCTAGCGATTTATCTTGCTAGCTAGCCAGCCAGATAGTTAGTTATCTGGCTAGCTATCCATCTGGCTAGCTATAGCCAGCTAGCTAGCTAGCTAGCTAGCTAGCTAACTAGCTAGCTAGCTAGCTAACTAGCCAGCCAGCTAGCTAGCTAGCTAGCTAGCTAGCTAGCTATTATGACTTACCGAGAACGTTCCACCTGGTACTTCCTGAGGACTTCCTGCACCGCCTTTTCTTGTTCAGCTGAAGGCTGCGGCTCCTCGTCGCTGCTGCTGCTGCTGCCTTCATCTGCTGCTGCTGCTGCTGCTGCTGCTGCTGCTGCTGCTGCTGCTGCTTTTGAGCGTTTCTTTCGCGGCTTCTCCGCAGCTTCCCAGTCCTAAACGATCAGTCCACACCACAGACCCTAAACCCTAAACCCTAAACCCTAAACCCCCAAACCCTAAACCCTAAACCCTAAACCCCCAAACCCTAAACCCTAAACCCTAAACCCTAAACCCTAAACCCTAAACCCTAAACCCTAAGCTGACCACTGCTGGCCCCTTAATCTTTTCCACTTCTATTCTTTCCTTTCCAAAGTCCGAAAGATATATCTCCACCTTCTTGACGTGGGGCTCCTTGCTGCTGCTGCTGCTGCTGCTGCTGCTGCTGCTGCTGCACGA